AAATTATTGAAAAAAAAATTTTTTCCCTTTTAAGGAATTTTTTTTTTTTTTTTTTTTTTTTTTTTTTTTTTTTTTTTTTTTTTTGCTTCACTGACACAATTAAAAGTTTCAGCAAACAAGTTTTAATATTGGATAAAAATAACTTGAGTAAATATAAAAATCTTCCTTTTCTTGGTGGAAAAAGTAATTATCCCTCTTATTCAGTCATGAACATACTGCAATTCAACTAACATTTTTAGAAGAGATTTCTATCAGTCCAGAATATCTGGCAAAGTTGTTTCTATGACTTTAGGACACTTTTTTATTTTCTTTGTCTCATTCTAATTGTGCCTTGACAGATCCCTTCGCAGCAGACAGCTCTACCGGATCCCTTTAGTGACATCAGCTGTGGAGGCTGGGAGATCAGTGAGGAGCCCCGGGGCCGGCTGTCTCTGTGGGCCGTGTCCCTGCAAGGAAAGGTACAGCTCACCTCAACACACTACAGCTCACCAAGGTCCACTTTATTCTGCTGTTTATTTCCTGTTTAGCTTGTTTTATGCAAATCAGATAGTGGTTATTTCCTGGCGTGGTATTTAACACTTATATTCAAATAATATTATGCAGTTGACCAAAAAGCAATACTGTCACTCGTTATTATCTAACACTGTTTCTATTACTGTCCAGGTGTGGTTCAGAGAAGACATCTCTCACCACAATCCTGAGGGTTCTTCCTGGGTGGAGGTGCCTCCCCCTGGAGAAGTGGTCCAGATCAGCTGTGGCCCCGGGGACCTGGTCTGGGCTGTGCTGTGGGAGGGTCACCTGATTGTCAGGGAGGGCATTAGTCGAGACTGCCCAAGAGGTACACGCTGAACTGTGCACATGCATTGTTGAAGCGTGTGGATTTTGTCTGAGAACTGCTTCCTGTGTGTTGCAGGTACTTCCTGGGCAGGGGTGGAGTCTCCGAGCCCTGAGGTGGCCACTATACATGTTGCTGTAGGAGTTAATGTGGTCTGGGCTGTGACCAAAGATAATAAAGTAAGAAAATGGCATGTCTGTATAGATGTATGTATTGATGTTTTTCTATACATTCTTAATTTCAATGTGTTCTCTGACAAAGTAATAATCATATTAACAAACGTATAAACCGTTACACTTAGATGTATCAGTTTTTCCAAATGTTTCCAATTGCCCAGTGGTGGTTGGTCATTTGAAGAAGCAGAAAAATCACCATATCTGATTTCAGAGGAGAAAAGAGAGACTGTAGTCATCTGCTACTACCATAAGAGAAAAATAAATATCCGCGAGATTTACCCATCGGTACCTCAGGGCTTCAGAACTTTAAATCATGTCAAGGTTGAGATGAGACTAAAATTAGCTATACTTGGAAACTGAAACATCATCTGGTGTTGCAAAAAGGAAGTAGCATCTGTAGACAGCTACAGTGAAATTTATTGCAGTAAAGTCTTTAGAATTAGGATTGCAAGATTAAAAATAAAACCTTTTAACTGATGAATGCATACAAAGAATGATGGGAATATAATCATTGTTGAAGTAGTTTGTCACCCTGCTGTCCTAGGTGTGGTTTAGGCGAGGTGTGAACTCTCATAACCCCTGTGGTTCCGGATGGATCAACATGGTTGGAGAAATGATCATGATCAACGTGGGCCTGAACGACCAGGTGACACAACACATCCAGACTCTAAATATTTAACTGTTAGAGAAATGTTCAGTTCTTCTGTGGATAAGAATATCTGTTACTTTGTTCCTACATACAGTATAAAACTAGTCAAACCCATTTAACTCATCCACATTTGCTACATTACAACCATGATCATCAACATATTTTATTGGTATTTTATGTGACAGACCAACACTATGTGCTGCATTAAAGGGAAATGGAAGGAAATAATACATGGTCCTCAAATTTTGTACAAATAGAAATATGGAAAATGTTGTGTGATGTGTATTTACCCCTTTAAGATTTTATGTTTGGATGGACTGTGTGACGGGGTTCTCTTATGCTTGGACTATATTCCAGCTGAATACAAATGCACAATTTTTATTTGTAAAAAAAAAAAAAAAAAAAAAGGAGTTGTTTTATTTCCATTCCACCATTTCTACCCTTTTTCTGTTAGTCTATCACATTATGTTGGAAATATGTGGGTTATGGACAGTCTTGTGAGGCTCTGCCAAATTCTCAGTAAGTCATAACATGGCTCATCTCCTGTTTAAGGTGTGGGCCATTAGCTTTGAGGACCGGTTGGTGTACTTCAGACAGGGTGTTACCTCCAGTGAGCTGAGCGGTAAAACCTGGAAGGCCATCAGCGTTCCTCGAGACGGGGAGCGATCCCATTCCAGTGCCAGTGCAAACAGTCAACACAGGTAAAGGCATCCCACGGGACTCAAACTAACATCTTTTTTCTGAGTCCACAGACATGCATTCTAATATTCAAATGTCTGTAAAGCAGAGCTTCTTCATGATTTAATTTCTACTGACTTGAATCTTTGTCCTCTCCACAGTGCGGGTTGTTTTTTCTCCGGTGAAGTGCGGGTTCCATCAGTAGTCAGCGATGCTGAATTAGACCTAGAACATCCACCAGGAGATGTAGCCATCAGCAGTGTCACATTCCCTGGGCTGGACTCCTTCGTAGATGCCCCTACAAACTCTTCATCACAACCATGCGTCAAGCCCAGCATCCCCAAGGTCACAAGCGACAGCTTTATCTCTGAACTCGTCTCTGACCGAAAACCAGCAAAGACATCTGGAGGTGTTGAATCAGCCTCTCCTGCTGTCCTGGAGGAAGTCGTCCTTGATGAAGGAGAGGCTGACGTTCTGTCCAGTAACAGTACTGTTACCATTACTGGGTCTGGTGGTCCTTCTGACCCCCAGTGGAGTAATGTAGATCTGGAGGAGGCACAGATTCAATATGGCCAAACGGGAGCAGTGGCAGACTCCGTTGACTCCTGTAGCCTGTCGTCACTGGCAACCTACAGCCTGGCCATGGAGGATCAGTATGGGGTGGACGAGCACCCTCTGTGGGCGTGGGTCAGCGGAGGAGGCTGCTCTGTGGACAGCCACTCTCAACTCAACTGGTTCAGCTACTCTTTGAACACGTGTATGTTATGTTGTGAAATGACTCAATGGGAAATGTTCTTACAGCTAGAATTCTGAAATACCACGTCTAATTCCAGTCAGATGTTTACATACACACATCATGTGCATTAATATCATATCAATTTTGGGCTTCTAATTATTTAAAGCTTTCTTTTTCAGGTGGATTGATGATACAATACCTAAATTCAGTATTTTTTCCCCCCAAATACAGTCAAAATTATACATACACAGCCAGATTTAGGGCTGCAGCTAATGATTATTTTAGAACTTGATTGATCTATCTATTATTCTGACAATTAATTGATTAACTAGGTAAAAAAAACAATTGGCACATTCTTTGGATTTTGTTGCCTAAAATGCAATAACAGGATTCCTGTAGTGAACATTTGACCATTTCTTGCAAAGGATGCTTTACTTGTCTTACTTGTCTTTCACCAGCCGTGCTCCAGTCAGTCCAGTCCTTGAGTCTGTCCGTGTCTCCTGCTCAGACAGCTGCTTGGCGGAAACAAATCTTTGAGCAGCTTAGTGAAAGGTCCAAGAGAGAGATGGACAATTTCAGACATTATGAACAAGCCATTGAGCAGGTGCATGCAGTACACTCTGAAAAATGATAAGCTTTTGGATCATAAAGAGTACCTTTTCATTCACATCCATTCACGATTTGACTTGAACTCCAATCTGTGTTGGCAGTCGGTGTGGGTAAAGAAGGGAGCCATGCAGTGGTGGAGAGACTGGAAGCCGCACAAGTGGATGGATGTTCACTTTGCTCTGGAACAGTTTTCTGGAGCTGAGGGACACAAGGATGGGATCTTATTCATTTATTACAATTATTATGAGGAGAAGAAGGTGAGAATGTAAAGTTGGTAAAACTAATTAAAAAAACACCACATGAATTTGACTCGTACATTTATAATATGTCTAATTTATATTTGCTATTATCTATGCATGTGTATAAGCTCCACATTGCATTGCATAAATTCTCAGCTTGAATTTGTGTCTCTGTTTATCTAAAGACTCCTGCCACAAAACTCCAAAAATGAATGTTTTCCATTCTTCTACTTTTTCTCCTTCCTCTGTCTTTTCTCAGTACCTCCATGCCTTCATTAATGAAGTAACCATCCTGGTTCCTGTTCTCAACGACTCCAAGCACACTTTTGCCATCTACACTCCTGAACGTACCAAACAGAGGTGGCCAATACGAGTGGCAGCTGGCACAGAGCTGGAGATGCATGATTGGGTGTGTAGAAAGAGAGATCTACATCAAAAATGAAACATTTTAGTCCCATGATTCCTGTTGGCACAACTTTGATAAGAAGATGAATATCTGCTCATGTCTTTTACCATGCATTTTTTTGTGATTGCTTATCCTGTGATTACACAGAAACAGGTGACGTAAAGTAGTTTTGCTCTCTTTAATGTTCTTTCTGTTTTCCAGTTGGCTTTGTTGAGTGTTTCCTGCTGTGACTCCAGAGGAATCCACGGTTCTCCGTCCAAACAGGCGATCTGGTCCATCACCTGTAAAGGGGACATCTTTGTCAGTGAGCCCTCCTCTGCCCTCGAAGCCATGCCTTACCCCACACCCTGTGATCAAATGTAAGAAAAACCACCAAGAGCATTTACTTTGAACTATGTTAAGGCCACAACTCCCATCCATTTTCTGAACACCCTTGTCCCTCAGTGGGGTCGGGAGGTGCTGGTGCCTATCTCCAGCTAACGTTCCGGGCGAGAGGCGGGGTACATCCTGGACAGGTCGCCAGTCTGTCGCAGGGCAACACAGACACACAACCATGCGCACACACACACACACCTAGGGGCAATTTAGACAGACCAATTAACCTAACAGTCATGTTTTTTGGACTGTGGGAGGAAACCGGAGTACCCGGAGAAAACCCACGCATGCAGGGAGAACATGCAAACTCCATGCAGAAAGACCGGGGCCGGAAATTGAACCCAGAACCTTCTTGCTGCATGGCAACAGCTCTACCAACTGCGCCACTGTGCAGCCCGCCACAACTCCCATTCTGTTCAATTAGGATATTATATGACCTACCAATAGTAGGTAGTCCATGTTTGTTAGGTGGAATAGAATAGAATAGATTAGAATATACTTTATTGATCCCCAAGGGAAAATTACTTGTATGCTGACAGCTGCTCTATTCAAAGTGTTCAATATTGCTACATACAAATGTAACCATAAGCAACATAAAATTTATAAAAATATATATACATATGTGTCATACTGTGATTTAAGTATGACTAAATATAAATTAAATATATAAAATACATAAATAAAGAAAATAACAAGAATGCACATAGAAATATATCAAAATATAAATAAATCTATGAATAAATGAATGCATTAGTGTTGCCCCTGTGATGTATTTAAATAAAAGTTGTGAGTTTGCTGTGAGTCTTTCTGTTTTGTTGGTGCAGGTTCTGGCGGCAGGTAGGAGGCCACCTGCGTTTAGTGGAGTGCAACAGTCTGGGGATAGTTTGGGGCATCGGCTTTGACCACACCGCCTGGGTCCACACAGGAGGCTATGGAGGAGGTTTCTCCCAGGGCTTGGCCAGTAGCACAGATAATATTTACACCCAGACTGACGTCAAGAGCGTTTACATCTATGAGAACCAGAGATGGAACCCTGTCACTGGCTACACCAACAGGTGTTTTACATGCAGATGTTTCCAAGTTCTTTGTGTAAAGCAATCATAAATGAAACACATGTAGGCTTATTGTGATTTAATTTATTTAATAATTGTATTACGCTCTTTCTGACCCATGTGAATTGGGCTTTCCTCCTTTTAGAGGCCTTCCAACAGACCGCTACATGTGGAGCGATGCGTCAGGATTACGCGAGTGCACTAAGACTGGTACAAAACCCCCTTCTCCTCAGTGGACATGGGTAATCTGAGCTCACCTCTAGTGTTTATTCTTGACTTCTGAGAACATTTAACCCAACAACTGCAGGTGCATGAAGTGTTTCAGTTCTCTTTACCGTGTCCAGGTGTCTGACTGGGCTGTTGACTACAGCGTCTCCGGGGGAACAGACAGAGAGGGCTGGCAATATGCTGCAGATTTTCCAGCGTAGGTTTCCTTTCAGGCTACACTTTACGTGACTTAATCTTTCATTAAATTTTTTTTCTGTTCCTTCTAATTCATTCATCCACTCCCTCCATGTCCTCTGGTAGGTCCTATCATGGCTTTAAAACCATAAAGGACTTTGTACGGCGCAGGCGATGGGCCAGGTATTTTCAGAAAGAGCAAACCAGTGATGAGTGAAGTATTCTGTTAGTGGGTTAAATGGATCATTGAGGCTTGATGTTTGTATTTGTTTTGTTTGGAATATTTAAGTTGTTTTATAAAAGATTATTTTTACATA